TCCCCCCCAGTAGTTGCGAGCTGCCGGGCTGGTAGACACACTCAGGCCGCTGAGCACATCCCCCAGCCAGGCAGCGCAGCTGCGGCCGGATACACCTCATCAGAGTAACACGAACCTGCTTAGAAAATACCCGACATTTGACATGTCCCATTTGTTTTCCGGACAGAACCCTCAGATACCGGCCTGTCCGGTACAAAACCAGACACCTGGCAACCCTGCCCCTCCTTGCTCCCCCCCCCTGTTTTCTTCCTCCTCCTGGAGTGCCCATGCGGCCCGGGGCCCCCAAGCCCTGGCCCAGGCTGGGCGGAGGATGCAGCCGGATGAAACACTGAACATTTATTAATTTTTAATTCTTTTTTTTTAATATGCGTTTCTATTTTGGGGCTGCAAAAAACTGTACTGAAAAAAACGGGTTCCAACTAAAGTAAAAAGTTTGGGAAACCCTGATCTAGCCAGCTTTCTATCCATCCTACAGTCCATGTATCCAATCCATATTCCCTTAACTTGCTGGCCAGAATATTGTGGGTGACTGTATCAAAAGCTTTGCTAAAGCCGGCACTGGGGGCTTTCCGAGGATCAGAAGCAACTTATTTGAATATGCATCATTTGCTTAATGAATATGCAAATATGCAAATGAATGTTGCCAGTCCTCCAAAAGCTCGTGAATGGATTTACTGGTCCCCGTGTCAAAAAGTTTGAGAACCCCTGGACTAGAGGACAGGGCATTTGCCTGGGGAGCGCATGGGGGTGGGGAATAGCCCCAGGGCGACCCTAGCTCTGGGTCCTCTCATTTGCCGCCGGAGGGCCACACACAATGCTCCAGGCGGCTCTGGGTATTTGGGGGGAGCCTGGCGCCTCACGCTCCAGGCTGGGCTGTCTGCCCCCACCCCCATCCCTTCTGCCCGAAATCCTGCCCTTGCTGGGTGTGCACTAGCCTTCCCCATCTTGCTGTGGGGCCCAGCATGGCTGAGGGCTCCCCTGCCAACATCCCCTGCCCCTTCCCTGCTCTCCCTTTCCTGAGACCCTGCCCCCAATCTCTCCATCCCGCCTTCCTCTGTCACTTGCTCTCCCCACCCTCACTTGCTCATTTTCACCATGCTGGTTGGGGTGCAGAAGGGGGTACAGGCTCCAGGCTGGGAGTGCAGGTTCCAGGAGTGGCCAGAAATGAGGGGTTCAGGATGTGAGAGGGGGCTCCAGGCTGGAGCAGGGGGTTGGGATGCAGGGAAGGGTGGAGGACTCAAGCTGGGAGTGCAGGTTTTGGAGTGGGGCTGGGGATGAGGGGCTGGGGTGTAGGTGGATGCTCCAGGCTGGGACTGAGGGGTTTGGAGAGTAGGAGAGGGATCAGAGGTGGAGCAGGGGGTTGGGCCACAGGGGAGAGGGGATGAGAGCTCCAGCTGGGAATGCAGGGTGGAGCTTGGGGTTTGGGGTGCAGTAGAGTGCTCTAGGCTGGGACTGAAGGGTTTGGAGAGCAGGAGGGGTCTGCAAGCACCGCCCACACAACACGCATTGCTGTGGTTTCCAGTCCTGCTGCACTGCTGCCCCGACTTTTAACAGTGTGGTTGGCAGAACTGACTGGAGCCATCATTGTCCCTTTTAAATCAGACATTCAGGTGGAAAACCAGACACTGGTTATATAGTTACAGGTGCAGTGGATAGTGATGGGGAATGGGATGAAGGGAACTAAAGTCCGTTGAAGATCTGGATCATGGATTTAAATGAGTGGAAACTAAAGCACCCTTTAGAGTTTTCTTTCCTCCTAATGTAGTGTACCTACCACTCGAAGGCCATTAGGCAGCGACATTCAACTCAACAAAGTCTAATGCTCAGGAGCTGTTACTGAAGATTTAGCAGGCTTCTTCAGAAACAAGCGTGGCATCTTCACAGCTGCTCTTTGGCAGTTTTAGTTTCAGTTGCTTGATGAAAAGTCCTTGGGTGCTAGCTGCATAGGAGTAGTCATTTTAGACAGGCCACTAAGGCTGAAACAAGTGAGAGAGAAAAATTAACTTCTGAGAGTGATAAGAGACCCAACGTGGACGCTCACCATCAGTGTCCTTCACTATGTAATGGGTGTCCGTGAGGTGCAGAAGGGGAGATCTTAAGCCCTTTATCTGGGGAAATATATTTGATTCTTCTAGAAAACATTCAGGCTGTAACTCACTCCTCTCGTAGTAATGCTTGCAGCACCATATCATACAAAATACAGGCAAAGGTGAACTAGAAAATGAGCATGTATGAAAAGCTTGTGTGAAGATGGGCCTTTGCTTCATTTTTTTTTCCTGTTTTTGAAAACCTATCTTCACTGTCAATATGAATTTTTTAAAACTAATTTATAAGGGAAGTACTTTCAGATAGAGGACAGCAATGGGCAACCTAGGCTAGTGAATGGGCCACATGAGTGGAAGCTGATGGAAACTGGCTGGCCTTATTAACTCCCAGTCCTTCCAACTGGATGCGTGTGGGCAGATATACTCACGGGCTACGACTAGACTGGCATGATTTTCCGCAAATGCTTTTAACAGAAACGTTTTCCCGTTAAAAGCATTTGCGGAAAAGAGCATCTAGATTAGTACGGACGCTTTTGCGCAAAAGCACTTTTTGTGGAAAAGTGTCCGTGCCAATCTAGACACGGTTTTGTGCAAGAAAGCCCCGATTTGTGTCTAAACTGGCAAGTTTTTCCACAAAAGCAGCTGCTCAAATACATTTGCGCAAGAGGGTTTTTTCCCGAATGGGAGCATCATAGTATTTGCGCATAAACACTGACAATCTTACATTAGATCGTCAGTTTTCTTGCGCAAATTCAAGCAGCCAGTGTAGACAGCTGGAAAGTTGTAGACAGCTGCTTTTGTGGAAAAACTTGCCAGTCTAGACACAGCCATGTAGTGTCCTTCTGGGGCTTAATCCAGGGCAATTGGATCTAGCTGCTCCCTTGCATCCAACTGAAAAACCTTGCACCGTTTCCTCTCACTATATCCCCATCCCATGAAAAGAAATAACATTTTCTGTCCCCTCCATCTGAGGCTTTCAAAGACTCGCAGAATCCCTGAGAGGGAAGTATCCTGTTTCTACATCTGGGAGAGGCCCAGTGACTCCTGGAGAATGAACAATCCAGCAGGAGGTCATGCATGAGCATTTCAAATGCCTTTTTGACTGGAGCGATTATCCTAATTTCCTCTATAATGTTACAATAATCTCTGTTGATACTGCAGCAAGGAAAGCCGATTAAGTTGGCTGAAGGGAGTTGGCTGAACTGTTCAGTCAGGGCTGGATTTCCAATTAGGAACAGCAGGCACAAGCTTACCAGTGTCAGCAGGCCCACCGACAGAGGGGAAAACGAGGTGACTGCCCTGGGGCCCGGTGATTCAAAAGGGCCTGGGGCTCCTGGCCACCACTGCTACCACAGTACCAACTGCAGCAGTAGTGGTGGCTGGAGCTCCGGACCCTTTACACTGCTGCCTGCGTGCCATGAAGTTTGCTCCGGGCAGCACTGAGGGCTGCCTCGGGTCAGTGCAGCACGCTCCAGGTGGCACTGAGGGATAGCTGGGGGGCCTTCTGGGGGCATGGAGCTGGCCCCCCTTATCTTGCCCAGGGATCTAGCGAGGCTCTCATCCCCACTGGGTGCCAGCATTCTAGGAGCACCTAAAAGTAAAAAAAAACAAAAACAAAAAAAGCTAATAGTCCTGCAGCACCCTAGAGGCTAACAAAAAATGTAGATGGTATCATGAGCTTTTGTGGGCACTTCTTCAGATGAAAGTTAAAACTGAGTTAAAAATAATTTTTTTTGCAGAAAACATGAAGGTCAGTTGTAGGCAGTGGAGATGCTGAAGATGCTGTGTGAAGGAGCGCATAGGGTTTAAATTGGGTTGTGTGTTCAGTGCTCTGCCAGACATAGCTACTGCTTGGCCTGCCAGAAGTCTTGAGGTAGGCAGAGTGAAAACTATATCCAGGAATAGGCTACTAGACTTTAAGGACAGAAGAGGCCATCTTGATCCTGTAGTCTGACCTGTACATCACAAGCTACAGAACCTTACTCATCCACTCCTGTAATAGGCTCCTAACCTCTGGATGAATTATTGAAGATCTCAAATCACGATTTAAAGACTTCACAATACGATCTCATGTAAGATTGTCAGTGCTTTTCCAGAAATACTATGCTGTTCCCATTCGGGCAAAAGTCTTTTTCCGAAAGACTTTTGCGCAAAAGGGCCAGTGTAGACAGCACAGTACTGTTTTCCGCAAAAAAGCCCCGATCGCGAAAAAGTGCTTTTGCGAAAAAGCATCCAGCCAATCTAGATGCTCTTTTCCAAAAATGCTTTTAATGGAAAACTTTTCAGTTAAAAGCATTTTCGGAAAATCATGCCAGTCTAGACATAGCCATTAGTGGGTTTTTTTAATAGCATAAATTCCTTTTGGGGGGGAAGGGTGGCAAGTCCCTTTTTTGTCTGGCGAGTAGGGTTTTCCAGAATTTGTTGAGCCCTGACCATTGGC